TTTTCTATGGAATGGGCTCTCAAAACAATAAGAACGAGGAGCTGCCACTGGAAAGGGGGGGAACAGCGAAAAGAACAAATAAACGTGTTCCTGGTCAAGAAAAATAAATTGCTCTTTCAACGAGGTGGAAGTTTTGACGGGGAGACTGAACCATGTAACGTACATGCTACCACAACTTCGGTGTTACCTTAGGAGCTTGTACCGTTGGTTATTAGATTGGTTTGACCTAAAGGCCAAAAGATACACCCCTGAAGACGTCACAGAAGATTTACTAGTTTGGAAATCTACGCTAGACAAATTCGAACATACCAGATTGATCCCGTCTCAAGTGGCAACAGATATTGGTTGGGTAGGCGATGCATCCACTAGTTTCGGGGTCGGCGTTATAATCGGGAAGTACTGGAGTCAGTTGAGGATCCTTAAACCGCGTAACATCGACCTACCAAAGAGGAACATAGCCTGGTTAGAAACCGTAGCGGTTCGAGTTGGACTGATTATGCTGAAAAAGTTAAACCGAATTCAGAAAGGATCCAATTTAATCGTGTGGACAGACAATACAACCACGGAATCGGTAATTGAAAAAAGGAAATCAGGCGACGAACACGTAAATAATGAGTGGAAAGCAATACAGACCTTCCTAATTGGTGAAGATATAGATCTAACAGGGAAAAGGGTCAAATCGGCAAACAACGTAGCTGATGAACTGTCGCGAGGGATAACAAGTAAGATGAAAAAAGGGTACAGGGTAATTTTTGAAATCCCTGTCGAATGGGAGCGTTACCTATGCCACGCTTGATCGCCTTTCCCCCTTTCTCTATTTCTGAATATAAATACTTTTTTTTTTTTTTTTTTTTTTGTTCTTCCATTTACTGGCATACAAACCTGTTTTCTCTGAAAAATCCTTTGCTTTTACCGACATTCATAATTTCTCTACTTTTTGACAATGGAAATGATTGATTCATCAGAAGACATAGTGATAGTAGATAACCAACCGCTCACAGTTGGCCATCTAAACAAAATTAAAGCGTTTGCTGCGAATGGTACGACTCATTATCCAATTTCGACGTTAAACGCCCACTTATTGAGTGGTTGGAAGTGGAACACTATTCTAGGATACAACGCTGCAGTTAAAAAATTCATATTCTTTAAGAATTTATCCGGTAATCACAATTTCAAGTTACCGGCGTTGAAGAAAGATATCAAGGATTTTTGCTTCTGGGCAGGAAGAAATTTATATCTAAACAACTCGTACAAGATCTCAGCACCGTCAATCAAAAAGTATCTATGTGGTTTGAAAGCATGGCATACGTTTCACAACGAAGAATACCCAGAGATAGCAGACAAACGAATTGAACTATTACTTAAGGCATCGTCCAGAATAGATGCGACGCTACCAAAAAAACCGAAGAAACCACCAATTCTACTGAAACACTTGATCTGGCTTTCGAACGCGTTATTCCCCGGCGGGGATATTGATAAAACAATAATGGATCTGGCGATTGTTTCTTTTTGGGGGATGGCGCGTTTAGGCGAATTTACTTACGACAACCCTTTCGGAGAATTAAATTCGGAAAACTCAGTTTTGACATCAGACGTCAGACTAGTCAGATCGGCAATAGGCGAGAAAGCTATTATAACCGTTCGGAACGCCAAAACAGCGCAACCCGGTAAACCACAAGAAATTGTAGTACATAGTTTGAAAAATATGTTATGCCCAGTGTTAGCATTAAAACGAAGGCTAGAAGAAGCAAACGGAACAGACACCTCATTGTTCGGTTTTTATAGAGATGGAGTTAGGCGACATCTAACAAGGCCTATCGCGGTGAACAGGATCAAACTGGTTCTTCGCGTGGGGGGTTTTGAAGGTCTCCTCGGACACTCCTTTTGAGTCGGTGGCGCTTCTTTAAGGTACGCTTTGGGAACACCGATCGAAGAAATTTGTCTCTTGGGACGCTGGATTTCGAACTCTTACAGATTATATATTCGGGAATACACCGCCGAGGATAAAGAAGACAGCAAGAAGATAATTGCGGAGTTAAATGAATTGTGGGAGGAAGATTGATCTTTGTGTTAAATTGTCTAATTAGATCGGAGAAATAGGTTTTTGTCACTAGGCTCAGGCTCCTATCTCAGTTTAGAAATTTACTCCTGAGTGAATGGCGTTTCTGTTCCTAAACCTATTTCTTTTACTAATTCTTAGAAATTAAAAAGAAATAATCTTGAATTTCTTAAAAACACACTGATCATTTCCCGTGGTCCCTAAACAAGTCTGATTCCTGATAAGAATCCTGATTTAGTTACCAACCCACACTCCGGACTGCTGGAGGAACTTGTTCCACTGCAATCCTAGGAGATGAGCTGCGGCACATCTCTGACATGAGTACCACAGGAATGAGTTAGAAGCACTAAATGGACCACCAGCTCAGGATGAGCTGAAGCTGCTGTGAGTTGAGGTTGGGGGTTCAAGCCCTGAGCTGCTTTTTTTGCACTGCAATCAGCTGCTGTGCAGCCACTGTCAAGAGCTGTCAAGCCTCCGCAAACCAGCCCTGCAACCACGGGCAAGCCAATGTTGCAGGGTCAAGCCGACCGCGGGGATTTACGCCCCCCGCTATGAAGCACCCCCAATCTTTTGTTGGGGCCGCACAGGTCAAGCCCACAAAATGCTTTCCGTCAAGCATTCGCCCACCACAACCCGTGGTGTCCCTTGTAAATCTCAGCTTAGCCCACGTGGGAGAGACCTTGCGCACCTCGGTGTCTCAGACGGGTACTCGCTTCCAAACTTAACACAAGTCCCTCTGAGGAGGTTGCGCCAGCGACCTCCAAAGGAGGGACTTGCATTCAAAGTGGCATGTCTACCCCTACAAACTCCAGCCAAATGGCAGGAATAGTGTTCCCCTCACCTATACCGCCCAGTACTACCCTGTTCCAGTATGAATCTCACCCGGAGGGTTCCACCATCAAAATAGTATGCTTCTGAACTTATTTCTACCCACTTCAAATGTTTGAATATCCCTACTCCCTGGAATGAAATGTCCTGTAAAATATATGATTTGGAAAATTTATGAGAGCAATCCGCCTTGAGCATGGCAGGATATTCCATCGGACATATCTGGTCATAAAACATAACTTGAATAAACATATTATCCTTGTAGTACCGTGATTATCTCAGAATTATCAAAATTAAATACATACATACCTTAATGCATGTATAAATTATTTCAGAGCTTGTGCCGCCGTCATCCAAGTCCTTGAACTCCCCAGGCTCCAATCAGCCGCGATGGAAATTGACGAGGTCCCATGACAATCCCCACCAGCATCTGAGCAATCCCCATCCCCTCAAGTGGTGCCAAAATTTGTGAGTGCGTTGTCTTTCTTCTGAAGAAGTTCCTTCAAAACAGTCACACCTCACGTAGTCGTTTTGCGGTGGGCTTCTTTAGGTGTGTTTTTCATAGGCCTTATCATTTTTTGTCTTGCTTTTTCTTGGTTTTTTCCATTCAATCAAAGCCTTTGATAACTCGGGATAATCTGAATTATTATGTATGTACTGCCAGAGCCTATTCTAGCCAATTCAAAAAAAAAATTAATTGACAAACAGATACTATGCATTGGCCAGAAAGCCCGTGAGATTGTCTGTGATCCGGTTTTTCAGGATCCAAAAGCTCAAAATATTTCAATTTTTTTTTCTTCACAAAGCTCAGGACATCGCTCAAGAAGAAGGGAGCTTCACCACTGTTTAGGGAAGCAAGAGACATGATTTTTTTTTGAAGAAAGCTGAGACAGCAGGCTACAACTTTGTCTATTCAGTTTTTTCATAGTCCGTTGAGTGTACTTTTAAAAATCAAACAAAATCAAATGAGGGTTTTTTTCGCGGAAAACTCATGGCTGTTGGTCAAGGCAAGCGACTTTGAAGGTAAGCCTCTCCTTCGGAGACGCTTCGCGCCTCCTACGGAGAGACATAGTTAAGCTCGACTCGCTTCATGTGTGGAAGCCGATTAGGCCTCGGGGAGGCCACAGATTGACATTGATCATCGATGACTCGGGATCAGCTCGGAATGGCCCCGTGGATGAGTGGGTGGGGGTCATGGAAAACTCCGGACCCTCAGGTCCTGGTCCGACCCCCCGCAGTGGTCACGCGTGGGATCCACATGCAAAAGGGGTGTCGAACCACGTCGAACTGCACCCCAGGTGTAGCTGGGTTATATGTGGATATAGGGGTTAGGCATGCCCACAGGTGGGACTCAGAAGTCGGAAAACAATTGACTGAAGATGTGCTCCTTTTGTATGCATGCGTTTATGCCTGTGTGAGATCTGCACATTCTGCTCTGTCGGTGTTGGTAGCACCAGGGCTGCGATTGCCGATTTCCTTTTGTGTAAACGTGTCAAAACACATACTTATGTCTGTTGTGGAAAGTGCAATGCGCCTGGAATGGCCAGCGTATGTACCGTGTTCGTATGGCCCCTTCCTTTGTTATGCTTCCTCCTTTCATGATACCCAGGGGCCACGACCCCCCGGCTCATTGCCTGACAGGTTTCCAGTGGCCATAGAACTTGAAAAGTGTATTTCCCAGGAATCCAAATCTCACTGACTTGCTCATTCCTCATCGGTTTTCCTCATCGCTAACAAAAGTTCAACGTTGATTTAACATTACTACCTGCTAGCGGCAGTCTTTTCTGCTTCAGACAATCACTTGGAGACATCAGATCTTTCGACTTCGCTTCAAAACGTCTTCCACTTACCCCGATTAACGCGATGGCTTCGGGCGCTCTGATCAATACATACCTGTCTCTCTCCCTCTTGTGCGGTCTCTTGAATATCCCACCGACAATATTACATATATCACAAGGTCATTCAGGTCCAGCATCTTTCGGTCTCTGGGCAACTACTTTGAACATCCTAGCTTTTGTAAGTCCACTGAAGCTGTTACTGCTTGCTCAAATCAAATGAAACTGAAACATCGCGCCTCAACTCAGACCAACGGTGTGATATGGAGGAATGATGCTTTGGATAGGGCGCCCGTGTTGTGTGACATTTCCTCCAAGGTGCGCATAGTTTTCAAAACTTGCAACCTACATCCGCTCTGAATCCACCATATAATAGCTGAAGTTTTTTTTCAGATAAGCGAAGTGGGCCCCCTGGGCTTGTTGATTGCCAACTGTTGTATTATTCGGTACCTTGCTTTGATCTTGACCCCCAATCGCACAATAGAAGAGCCCCAGCAGAAGCGGCGCAGAATTTTGCTTGACTACTGCCTCTCTTTGGGCTTCCCGAGCCTAATTGCCGCCGTATCAGTCATCTATCAAGTTGGCCGGTACCAAATCAACAACCTTGCTGGTTGCTCCAGTGCATCCGCCCTCGTATGGCCCACATTTATACTATCCATTGTCTGGCCTTTGGTATTTTGTGGTATCTCCTGCTGCTACTCTTGTGCGTGTGGTTGCTCTTTTACAGTCCTTAAAGTAATTTCGCGCTTTTCTGATGCACTCTCCGAAAAAAAGTATACGTTCTCTACTGTCTCATACAGCGGCACCGCGATATCAAGAAGCTTGTCAACTGTACGGGAAGCACATTGAACGTGTCTCGTTTCGCTCGAATGGGAGCTTTATCAGTCACTTACTTTTGCGTAGCCACGCCTTGTGCTGTTTACGGTACTTTGGAAACCATTGCCGCCACCGGCCCATACGTACCCTGGGTATCTTGGTCAACAGTCCACAATGAGGACAACAAGGTTAATGTTTTTTCCATCAACTGATAGTTGTTTCAGACTCCTCCCCCAGATCACAACTACTAGATCGATTTACGCTACATTTTCTTTCAATTAGCTTTCGATGGTTCGCCAGTACCCTCTTTATCAATACCAGCTGCGCGATTGGTTACCAATCGTCGCAGGGTTGATGGTCATTTGTTTTTTTTCGTGTGGTTCAGAATCAGTATCGATGTACTCCAAAGTAGGACTTGCCTGTCTCGATCGCTTAGATGCAGTTAAAGAAAAAATTTTCGCGACAAGGTCCCCGCGGAGAAATCATGAGCCGAGGAGGTGAGTGAATTATACATCTTACAAGTAATTTCAAGAGGCACTAATTTGACATATGACGTCCATAGTGTATTTTCCGATGTGATGACATCTTCGAGCGCGGAAAAGTTGCACACTAGAAAGTTGATTAACTCAGGGCTATTCCCCAGTACGACTGCCCCTCAAACAAGCTTACGCCCTTTCCAGATTCATGTTTCTGTTGTCGAAAACTCCGTGCCAGCGGAATATTGAACCACAACCTTCCGATTTCATAGCTTTTACTGGAAAGTTTCTTTCTGTACAATTTGTTATATTTGTACTATCAATTTTCCTGAAATTATAGTTGCTGGTATCGAGAGTGACAAAATTGAGAGGAAACACTGTATATTCATTCCTATAAGATGTCGTTTTACTCTTCACCATGAAAGATGATTGTTGTGGCTAGAATTCAAACAAGCAGGGTTTGGCCACCCCTGGGCTGGCCCGCTAGGGCCATCCATCTTAGCACGCAGACCTGGCTTGGCCCCATTCAGCCAAGGCCTGCACCCATTTAGCAAATGGGCTGCCAGCACAGAAACTAAGATCAAAATGAGGCAGGCATTTTTTTTCATTTCTTTCACTCCAGGTAGCAACTGGCTTTAGAATGGATTAACTTCTCAATACCAGTTGTACTGACAACTTGTGGAGAATGGGCCTGGTTTGGGCCGGCCCACTGTGATTTTTCCCAAACCCACACACTTGCGGGGGGACTGAATCGGGTCAGGTCAGTCTTGTGACATTCCTGAGAAGACCCAACACAAAAATACCTGGTTTGGACTGGGTTTGGGTTATACCAACTTTGTGCTTGGCAGCTTGACTTATTGGGACAAGCAGCCAATGCTGTGTTTTCTGAATTTGTTGATCATGATTTGTGAAAATAGAAAAAAATGGAATGAGATTATGTGGTTTTTTTAGTAGCCACTATCAATAATCTCAACAGAAGTAAAAATAGACAAAAAGAAATGGGTCTTGGCTAATTGACTCCCAAGAATTGGAGAGCCAACTCCCAAACCCCAAAATCCCCAATATTTCCACCAAAATACCCGAGAAAGGGGAGTCAATCCCCCAAACCCATTGGTGGGTTTGGGAGTTGAGAGTCAAAGAAATTTAATTAAACAAAGATCCAACCCCCGAAAGAGTTGGGGGTTGGTGCCCCAAACTACTGGATTTGAGGGGTCGGGCTAACCAAAAGAGCCACACGGCCGGGAGGATCCTCCCGGCCGTCTCTGATGGCA